CGCAAGAAATAGTAGGGATACAGAGATAAAAATGAGGCGGTTGTAAGGCGGTGCGGTGTTCCTTCCGTGTTTCCCCTCTTCCTCTCTCACTCTCGTTCTCAGCGTCACCCGAACGCACATATACGGAAGCTCCATACGCATCGTATATATCTCTGTGTGTTTTGCAGTTTGAACCTCGCTGCTTTTCCCATGTAGCTGAATTTTCAAACGTCCCCAGAATATACATAGACACGTACGTATGTGTAAACTGTCCCTTCCTTCCCTCGTTTTCTTCCTCTTCTCACGGCACTACAAAAGGCAAAAGTGCATTGCGTCCACCAAGTGCAATAGTAATGTCGCTTTATAATATACATAATGTAGGCCTAGACGTTTGTGTGCGTGTGTGGGTAATACACATGTATTGTTCCCATTAGTTTTCCGGCGGCGGTGTCGCCGTGGGTTTCGGTGGTGGCAGGGCATTGAAGCACACGCCAAGCTCCATAATTCTTCCCAGCGACTCTCGTGCGTTGTCGCTGAGGTCTGGCAAGCGACAACGAGCCTTGGAGAGCACCTGGTACGCCAAATCGAGTGTCTTTTCCACGTCGAGGCTCACCTGTGATGCGGCGTTGAGAAGGTCGGTGAGCAGCGAGGGCTGGCGCTCAGTCGTCGCATCTCCCTCCTCATCGCCAGACTGCCGTGCGGAACGATCCTCAATACACTCGACACCGCCCCGCGAGTGGTACACGCTGGTGAGAGGTAGCACCGGTGCCGCCAGGTACGTGGCAATCGGGCTTGAGGGGTGCGGCAGCGTCTGCAACAACTCCTGCTGCTCTGCAAGCAGGTTGCGCAAATTCGGCGCCTTAATGACGACGGTCGACATGAAAATTCCCTTTGTTTCTCACTTCTTGACGCGTTTGCAGCTCTCCTGCGCCTCACACCGACGACCCTCCCTGCGTAGCTGAGCAACCCACAACAACAACAAAGAAAAAATAGAAGCAGAGAAATAAAGTGGCAGAAGGCACACGTGGCGGGCAAATCCCCCACCCCCCGCCAACCACTTTCTTTTTGTGTGTGCGGGTGTGTGGTGTTGATGCAAATAAATGGACATGATTGGGCACGCATGCACATCGCGGGCCCACGATGTGTCTGTCCCTCTCTCTCTCTCTCTCTGTAGGAGGAGGGGGGGGGGGGAGGCAAAGGCCATTCTCACTCCCCTGCTGTATCCCCCGCCCCACTCCGCCTCATCTGATACCCCCTTTTCAGGCGCATCTTCCCTGTCACTTGTGTACATGAGACATTCAACACGCAGCAAACAAATCAAGGGGAAGGCCGACTTCTCACCATCACTCCTTCTTTGACTTCCTTTTGGTCTTTTTGCTATTGGCCTTTTCCGCCTCGGCGTCCAGGATCATCTGCATATGCTCCGCGATGTGCTGCAGCATGTCCTCGAGGGACTCCTCCTGAACCTCTCCCACCTCAATACGAATGCTTTCGGCGTCACTGGCAGCAAAGGCGAGGGTTCGCCGCATCTCGACCGAGTCGATTGACTTGGTGAAGTCCAGCAGTTTCAGTGTCTTTGTGGTGTTAATGAGTTCTCCCGTTGCATCCACCGTTTTTGTGTCAAACGTGTTATCTGCGCAACTCACCATAATGAGGAACGTGTTCCTTAACAGCGCCCTGACGATTATCACCCCACCTTCGTCAGAGAGGCCGTTGTTCGCTATGTTGAGGCGTTCCAGCGACGGTGGGTTTGCTGCAATGAGTGCTGCAACCTCGGATGCGCCGTCATCGCCCAGCATGCAGTTCGCCAGGTTGAGGGAACGCACACAATTAGGTGCAGCGGTAAAATGCTGGCGAAGCACCTGCATCCCCTTCAGCCCAAGCATGTTGCTGTGCAGACTAACGTCGAGGAGGAACTCATTGTTTTCCAGCAGCTGCCCCACCGCCTCACACCCCTTGTGGCGAACATCATTGCGGAAGAGGTTAAGTGACGCAATGCCCTTCCCAGCAAAGCGCTGCATGGCCTCGCAAAGATACGCGGTGCCGATGTCACCAATCTTGTTCGCCATGAGGTGGTACACGCATAGCGGGTTGCGTTGCATAGACCGCAGCAGACACTTTGTCCCCAGCGGGCCCACGTTGTTCCAACTGAGATCGACAGAAACGAGGTCACGGTGGCACGCCGCTGCTTTGCTCATGGCCAACAGCGTGTCATCGCCCATGTCGTTCCCCATCAGCACAATACTGAACAAGGTGCGGTTCCACTGGCCAGGCTGCCCGCTGGGAGTTACATTGGGAACGAAGGCACTAGCCAGCGCTATCCCGCCCACGTCCGTGATACCGTTCTGCGCCAGATTCAAGTACTGAATGGTTTCATTCTTCCGAAGAACCTCCGCCATCGTCACGGCCCCTTCATCGCCAATATTGTTGTGCGAGAGATCTAGGTGCACAATGTGTCTGTTCTTCATGAGGGCTGTGCCAATGATCAAGACGCCGCGGGGGACGATGCTCTTCCCCTGCAACTCTAGACTGGCCTGGAGAAGCAGCGCCCGCCACTTCCTTCTGGTGTAGAAATTTGTCGTCAGATCCTTGCTAGTCCCGGGTGGCGGAATCTTTTCCTTCTTGCCCATCCTTACACCACAATTCCTTCCCAATTCCCCCCTGCATAAATTACAAAGTAGGGCCAAGAGTAGTGGAAGGTAAACGGAAAAAAAAAGGCGGGCAAGAAGAATAAGAAGAGCAGTAAATTCATCAACAAGCAGCATTGGGAAACAGTATCCAAAAAATATACAAATACAAATTTCCCCCACACACCACAAATTTGTTGCTGTCCATTGAATAGCATCGTCGTGAGTGGGTCTGTAAATGTCGCTGTGCCTGTAGCTATGATGACTTACTCGGTTTCTCCTTACAACAATCGCATAGCGCTCGTGACTGCAGTTGAATGCATGGGGGAAGAACGCATGCACACACACAGACACACACACATCACATGTATGTGTGTATAACTTAGGCAAAAAAAAAAAATTAGTACCGCTCCATCTTTCGCGGTTGGCGAAGGGCGGCAAGGAAAGCCTCCTTTGTGGCTAATTGTTTCTTCTCGTGGACTTTGTCTGCTGTCATGTGCTTCGCCTCCGTTTCAACTACCACACCTGCCTTGCGAGCCTGTGCGAGAGAGTTAAAGAGGCGAACCACACCTGCTGTGGCGACACTGCGTAGACGGTACTCATAGTCGTGTCGGTTCTGGTGGGGCAGCAGGCGTTTGTGGCTCTGGTCCTTTACGGCGCGGTGCAGCAGCTTGAGGCCCATCGCCTCCGCAGGTGTTCGCTCTGCGGCGACGTCGGTTTTAGGCACCAGCTTTTCCGTCCGCCTCCCGACAATCTCTATAGCAGCCTTGCCAACTGGCTTTTGCGACACAGACGCGGTGGCTCGTGCGATGGAGCGAGAGGAAATTTTAGCTTGCGTCTTTTTTCTGATAGCCACCTCCCCCGTGTCATGTACAGCGGCCCCCGTCAGCTCCGCAATGCGCTGCTGCAGGCTTTCCGAGGAAAGCTTGGGGGCCCGCCTCACTAACGCCACCGTCTGCTTCCCCTTCGCCTTCCGTGCCGCCCGACTCTTTTGCGGCCGCGACAACTTTCCAACTGCGCCGCGGAAGCGCCCTGCCATCACGCCCTTCTCCTTTGCTTGTCCCTTCGCTTACCCCTTGTCGGATCCCCACCACACTCATTCGGCGAAGAGGAGAGATAGGCGTAAGTCAACCATCACCCCCACAGCAAAAAAAGAGGAAGAGAAAGAGAGAGAAAGGAATGTGTGATGCACACAAACAACGCAAAGGGTGCACACAACGCGAGGAAGAAAATCATCACATGCGGCTGGGAAGGGCCAGGGAAAAATAAGCAAAGTTAGACTTCATTAAACCAACACACGCACTCATTTATGTATCCAGCGAGATGTACTTAGACGCGCACATTACAGAATATTGCTTTCTTTCTTAGCATTTACCACTATTAAGCACGATGGAAAAATTATGTGTGTTTTTTTTTTTTTACTTTATGTTCACTAGCCTCCGCCTCACGCTACTTTCATGGTTCGTATACCCAACTACACACGCACGAAGTAGGAAAGAAGAAAAAAAGGGGGAAAAAACGAGGTATATATATATATATATATATTGCGCATCCCCTACACATGGAACAAGCTCCTGTACGACCGGCCAGCGCGTTAGTAGCGTCGATGAACTTGACGACCACCACCACCATTATAACCACTGTGGTAGCCACCGCCGCCGCCACCGCGGTAGCCACCGCTGCCGCCACTGTGGTAGCCACCGCCGCCACCACCGCGGTAGCCACCGCTGCCGCCACTGTGGTAGCCACCGCCGCCACCACCGCGGTAGCCACCATTGCCACCACGACCGTTAAAGCGGCCTTGACTCCCACCTCCACGGTTGCTGCTGTTCAGTTCCCGCGCAATGATAGGCGGCAGGGTCTCAATGATGCTGAGCTCCATCCCACGGATGGGGGTTGAGAGGATCTGGTCCGCCGCCTCCTCTGGGACGTCAAACACACATCCAGGTGTCTCCTGCAGAAGTGTGATGTCTCTGCATCGCGTGAAGAGGTTGTCGCCGAGACTGTTGCGGAGAATACTGCAGAAGACAGGGATAGGCAGAGCGCGCTGCCCCAGCATTTGAATCGTTACAGATCCCTTCGCCCCAGTGATTAGACCACGTCGTGTGATGCTGCTGGTGTAGCCGCTCATAACTGCAATAGCGGAGGCCAGAATCTCTGTCGCGTCTGCGTCCTTTAGTAACTCTGCGGCCTGATCCATGAAAAGGTTGGTAGCACCACGCTCCACCCGCGCCAAGTCCTCCGCCGCATCTCTTGCAACAGCCCTGAGAATCTCGTCCCGTGTCGGTGCAGGAAGTACTTCAAACTTAATCTTTGCATGCCGTTCAATGCGTTCCACAATGTATTCGTCCTTCGGCTGATGCAAGAGCACACACACGCCTTTGCGGCCAGCGCGGCCAGTCCTACCGGCACGATGAATAAAGGCGTCGATGTCGGTGGGAGGGGCACACTGAATGACAAGGTCCACCATGGGCAGATCCAACCCACGCGCCGCCACATCGGTGGCGATAAGAACACCAAACTTATTGTCCCGAAAACTCTTCATAGTGCTCTCCCGCTGCTCCTGCTGCATGTCGCCATGTAACGACTGAGAGTCCAGTTTTGTGTTATTAATGGACAAATCATGGCAGTCCTTCTTAGTGTTTGTAAAGACGAGCGTGCGGCCGTGGCGTCCACTATACACTTTTACAAGATCTGCCAGCATGCATGACACCTCGCTGAAGTGACACTTGCGGCGGTAAAACTTGATGGTGTCGGCGGCACGCATCGTCCCTTGTCCAACCATGTCAATAAACTCCTTGTTTCTCGAGATGAAGGAGCAGGTGTGAACCCAATCTGGCACCGTGGCGGAGAACAAGAGGGTCTGGTGCTTTGGCTTTTCCTCCGTCGATCCGTTCTGTTCCGCTACCTTCTGTAGGAGAAGCTCAATATCATCCTTGAATCCAATATCAAGCATGTGATCCGCCTCGTCGAGGCAAACCACACTTACACGATCAAAGCGAAGTGTGCCTTTTTCCAAAAAGTCCTTCGCACGACCCGGCGTCGCCACCACAACATCTACACCACTGTAGAGAGCCCTCTCCTGCGTGCTGTACGCCACACCACCGTAGAGTGCGGAGACGACAAATCCCCTACTGATGCCAGCAATGACATCCCGTACCTGAATGGCCAGTTCACGGGTGGGGCAGAAAATAACGGCAGCAGGGCCGCGCCCCCGCACAGGAGGTTCGTTGCCCTTCACCATGCGGGTGAGTTTCTCAACGATGGGAATGCCAAAGGCAAGTGTCTTGCCGCTCCCTGTTCGCGCCTGTACTAACACATCAGACCCCTTCATGATCGCTTCATATGTGAGGGCCTGCACAGGGAATAGTGTGGTAATCCCCTGGCTCTTGAGTGCCTCAAGCGTGCTTGGCAGTAGATCGAAGTCGGAGAAAGGGCGGCCTGTCACGGCAGAGCCATTGTTCGGGGTGTCCCCGCCATCAGCGCTGTTGCCACTTGCGGTCTGCTCATGACGAGCGCGCTTCTCTGGTGACGACTTTATACGCTCACTTCCTCCCGTCATTTCCTCAGCCGTCCTCCGAGACATTTGACGTCCCTCCACCTTTTTATTCTCAATTGGATTTGTGAGGTCGCTCCTTCGCGCCCTGTACTCCGACCTTCTGATCGGGGGGCTCCACAAGGGCTTAATTCGTTCAAGTATTGTTCGCGTATCGCCTCCGCAGTCGCTCTGAAGTGTATCTGTATCTGTACACGCACACACACACGGAGTGAGAGCGAGAGAGTGGGTAGGTGGGTGGGTTTTCCAAAGGTGCAGAAACGAGAAAAAAAAAAAAACTTGTCGGATACTCCTCTTAAAGTTACTTTATTTTATTAGCGTCCCCTTTTAAATGTTTGCTCGCCGAGTTGCCCCTACTCCTCCACGTTTCGTGGCGGCTCATCCGGAACAACACCACGCCGTGCAGGCAGAAGAAACAAAAAGAAGAAAAGCGCTCGCAGGAGGCTGAGAAGGCGGCTGGGAGAACACAACCAAAAAGATTCCACCGAATAACACATACACAGTAAAAGAAAACAAAAATCAAAAACAATGAAACGATGCACAGCACACGGAAGCGAATTCTGTCGAAATATATTTGGACAAATGCATAAATAAATGAGAGTAAAAAAAAAAAGGGATAAACACGACAGTCGGGGCCATATGACCAAACGAAAAAGGAAACATCCATGCCGCCGCGTACTCCTTCCGTCCATAGTAATAACCACACCAATCATAACATGTATATATCGGTATCTCTATATAGACCGATATCCAGATACATAGATTGTTATATGGCAAGAAGGTAACATGGGGGAAGAAACAAGGAACACACACACACAGACACACACTCACAGAGTAAGGAAACAAGCACAAGAAAGAAAACAAACGTTGGAATACCCATGAGATAAAAGCATATAAAACACACGTAATGATACGAGCGTTGTCAGATACGCCTTGTTTTGTTTCCTTTTTTTTTTCTCGCATCCCTTTTTCTTTTGCTTCTTGTTGTTGTTGCTTTTTTGGGTCCTCCTCTTCCAGCTCTTGTCTTGAATTGTGTCGTTCAAGATATATATACATATCTTTCATCTTTGTGTGTCCATACTTTTGCCTTTTGTCGTGCGTGGACCGTTTTCTTTTTGTCGTTGTTTGGGTGAGTAGAGGGTTGGGTTATTTATTACTTCTCCCACTCCGCACACCCCCCCCCTCCCCATCCCTTTTATTTTTGCTTTTTCTTTGATTCTTCTTCTTTGCCTCTCTTTTTATCGTTATCTAGACATGCTTCCTGGCAACCGCTGCGCACTACATCTGTGCATGCGTAGACACACACGCACCCGCATATGTTTTCATCCTGCAGCTAAACGCCTTCGCATCCTCTTTTTTTTTTCCTATATATATCTCTCTCTCGCTTTGACACGCTACGGACAGAAGCCAAAGTATGATGTCACGGAAGATCGAGATGCACCGAATGGAACACTAATGCAGCGGCCACCGACGGAGGTGCCGTTGTTGTCGTACATGGCGTTCTCTGTGGGCTTCATGGCGTCAAACGCCAGCTTCATGTATTCCCGATCTCCCATGAGTTCACGCATTTTCCAGCTCTCCTCATCCAACACACCTCTACTGCTTTCATCGCCACCGCCGCCATTACCGTCAACTTCTACTTCTCCTGACACTTGTGGATGAAACCAGGCAAACTCGAGCGCTTCCCGCGCCCGTGGGCGCTTTGACGGATCGAAGAAAAGGAGCGCCTTCGTCAGTTCAATAGCTTCGTGGGGCAAGCTGCTCCATCGCGTCTCGGCGAAGGGTGGTCCGGCCTCCATCTCCTTACAAGTTGCAGCTTGTTCCCGCAGTGACGGAAGGGAAGCTTCCCGACTAGCATGACGTACAAAATGGTGCCTACTGCATAAACGTCCATGCGGGCAAGGAGGTCCGGCGTTGTGGCGAGTTGTCCACCGCTCTGCGTGAGGCTCTTCACCGTCTCGGGTGCCGCGTAGTTCAGCGTCCCGCATGGTGTGGCAATGAGCGGGCTGTCACAATGGGAATCCGGTGATTCCACAGAGGGAGACTCCGGCATGGCACGCAGTGAGAACCGTGCACTCCCCAAGCGTCTGCGCCCACCACTCTTGCGAGCGAGCGACCGCGCGAGGCCAAAGTCCACCAAAGTCACGTGGAACTCGTCGTTCTCCATGAGCGTTACTAATATATTTTCTGGTTTAACGTCGCGGTGCACAACACCAACGACGTTGTGAAGGTAATCTAGCGCCTCTAGTAGCTGCTGTGTCACGAATCGCACCTGTGCCTCTGTAAATACCGTGTCGCGGAGGGCCTTAAAAAGCTCCGTCCCGTCCACGTAGTTCATCACAATCACAAGATGCAGCGGTGTTTGAAAGTAGTCCAGCAGCCGCACGCAGTTCTTGTGATTTATCCGCCGAAGAACCTCTACCTCGTTGATGACGTCCAGCCGCATCTTTTCAGAGGTGAGGTCGCGCTTGTTGAACACCTTCAACGCAACCGTGTCACCCTTCCGCAGCTCCGCCCCATCCACAAGACTCACAGCCTTAAACACCGACGCAAACGTCCCACGCCCAATAAAGTCGTAGATGTCATCCGTCTCGTACAGCTGGTTGATGTGCCGCTCCTCACGGAAAGGAAAAAGCGACATTGCACGGAGGAAAGAGAGGGAAGGTGTGTGGACGCAGTCGCACCTGCAATTCCTTCGCGGAGCATTCCCCACACGTGTGTACAGCGCGTGAGGGAAGAAGCAACAAAGAAAAAAAAGGGGGGTGGGCAGAAGGAAGAAGTGCGGCAGCAATGCAACTCAACCTCCACGTCAGCAGAAGAAGAACAAAAAAGGCCTCAGCCAAAAACAGTCTCACATGAGAACATACACACACAGACAGGCAGACATCTATCAGTGGGTTTATCGTGTTTTTGTTTTTGTTTTGTTACGTGAATAAAAGACACAGGATGCCCGTCCACACGTCTGTACATTTCTACGCTTCGCCAGCAGTGAGGCAAACAAACATCCCCCTCCGCTCCCCCCACCACGCACACACACAAAGAAAGAATGTGACAAAGAGAGATACAGAGAGAGGAAGAGAGCAGGGAGGATGACGAAGCACACCGTGACAAAGATGCCTGAAAGAAGTTCAGGCAGAGGGAAAGAAGACACCGCCCTTGACTGTGTGTTGTGTACGCACTGCACGTCATACTCATATGTTGCAGGCCCCGCGGTCTGCGCCAGAATCACCATCTACGCCCTTCACCACTCATTCCATTCCGCAACACATAAAGTGACATTGAGGCCCGCTAAGTCAAGGACTTCCAAAGGAGAACAGACATTTGCCCCCACGTGATGTAAATATACCCCTTCGTCTCGTGAGTCACAAATGAGCCAAAGTTCTTGCCAACAACGCAGTGCCACACCCCCTTGTACTTCTTCTGAAACTCTCGCTTGACAAAGGAGGCCATGGCGTACTCCAGTGTCTCCGTTTCAAGAGCCTGGATCACAAGGTTACGCGCCTCCTCCCGCATGTCTTTCGTCATATCCGCATTGAAGTTAAAATCCGCTAACTTTGTCATTTCGCTTTCTTTCCCACAGCTCTTATTTCTTTGCCTGTTTTCTTGACCTGTATACCTGCGTGTGTGTTAAACTCCCTACCAGGCGCAGCTGACACGGCACACATTCAGAATGCACATAATGGAATCATTATGCAGGTGGCATGATAAAAAAAAAAAGTAAAACATGCGCAGAGAAAGAAAAAGGAAGAAATAAAGAAAGATAAGAAGAATAATGTATAGTTAAAAATGCGCAACAGATAACAACGTATGTAACAACCTACAAGAGTGTATGCATGTTTTTGATGCGCCTGTTTTAAAAGGATCTGGCGGTTCTTCGCATCATCGATATATTATTTTTTTTTCTTTCGCCACTTGTATTACGAGATCTGTTTGTTCATCGTATACTTGCCTACATGGGCTCACACGCATGAAAGTAAAATAGAGAGATAAAAATAAAAAAGAAACGTTTAGCTAGAGGGAAAATAGCCCTCGTTTGTCGATACAAACTTTATTTCGCACGCCCTGGACAGCCACGCAGCCACACACACACATGCACACAAACATATCTTCCCTCAAATCCCTCCGTGGCTGCCCCATTGACTTCATCATATAACTTTTTCTCTTTTAAATTTGTTGTTGTTGTTTTTTTTTTGTTTGGCTTATTCCTCCGCATCCCGTTACTTCCTTTGTCTTTCCCTCCTCTCTCTCTCTCTCGTTCTCTGTGTATGTATGTGTTGTCGTCTCAACTCTAGTTGCTTCCTCATCCTCCTTCCTTCTAGGTTCGGAGGGCAAGGAGAAGTTAAGAGAGAAGGTGTGCATGTATGTATTTATGTGCGTCTCGAGAGAGGGTGTGTGGCTGAGTGGGAAACAAAATTTGAGAGCTTCTCTCACGCGTTTCCCCACTTTTTTTTTTCGCCCAATGCCAGCCACTGGCGCCCACTCTCGCACACACATCGCTCCACCATCGGATGCACCCAAGTGCATAAATACATACTGCAGCATACACGCGCACACGTGTACGTGGAGTTAGGCTTGACTGCATTGCGTGCTGGCCTCCTTGTTTGTTCCATGGTGTGTCTCCCACTCACTCTCTTGGACCCACAGCCTGGCCGCCCTTTGCGGCCACCTCCACCAGAAACTTCACCGCCGCCTTGATTTCGCGCACCTCGCGCGACAGCTCTACAAGGGCGTGCTGCGAAAACTCCTGCTTCCGCGAAAGCGACGCGAGCGCTTCCGCAAATGCGTCGTTGTGGCGCGTAAGTGATTGATTCAACGCCGCAAGGGCGGAGTTGGCCTTCGTGAGTGCCTCATTCTCACCCACGAGTTGCTGATTTGCCCGCAGCAGACGTTCGGCGTGCAGCGCTGCCTTCCGCATCGCGGCCGACAGCCCAGACGCCTCCCCCGAGATGGACGCGGCGTTGGAGACGTTCTCTACGCTCCGCAGTACTTCGCCGCCCACCGCGATGTCGCTGTCGTCGTCGTCGTCATCATCATCGTCGTCGCACATGGCGCCCCCCGGCTTGTCTACGCTCCACTCCGGCCGCGCCCCCACGCCCAGCTCGACCTCCTGGCCATGGTCGACAAAACTGCACTCGCTACTTTGCGCATCCATGGCGTCCCCGTCACCCCTGTCTCCTAGGATAACGAGGCCCCCAAATAAAGATTTTAAAAAAAGGTGAGAGACACGTAGAGGTTTGAATAACCCACAACAACAAGCACACGCATGCACGCAGGCCCGGCAGAGGTGAACAAGCTCGTCACGGTGCTCACTCAGGGCAGTTGAAGGCAAACGCTGATCCTCTCCTCGGAGAGACCGCAGTGAGTCTATACAGTATATATGTACAGCACATAGTCAAAAAAAAAAAAAAAAGAAATGCAGGAAGAAAATAAAGCAAACAAAAAAAAAAAAGAAGCACACACCGCCTCACGTCTCTCACGTATGTAGATAAGGCCAGTGTGATGCATATTTTGTGTTTTTACAGTAATTTGGTGTGCTGCCATTTTTTGGGTTGTGACGCGTTTCCTTTCCCTTCCTTTTCGCCTCAAGGTTACGTTGGACAACTCACGTAACATGGTGCCGCTTGCACGCTCGCTCTAACATTCATGCATATTCCCCTTCCGCGCATTGGTTTGCCTATTATTTAGCAAACCCCATTCCGCCAAAGTTCCCAGCAGATAGATGTGAGGAAGAGGAGGACACACACACATGCAATAAAAAAAAAAAAAGATGATACTTCGAGCAGGATTCAGCCCCTCACGACTTGCTTTCCTTCTTCTTATCTCCCCTACGGGTGTTCCTGTGTCGAGACCCCCCCGTTAATTAAACCTTGGGCGGTGTTGAACAGGTTGACCGGCGACTTCCCGTCCGTGATGAGGTAACCCTTGAGGCCCAGGCCCCCAAGCAATTTGGCCTGCATCTCAGGTCCGGCCTGCGCCACCGCCACAATTGTATCGCGTCCAATGGCAGCCACCATGCGTCGCACTCGTTCCGCCTCGGTTTCCGCCAATTGGCGCGCCTTTATGATTTCCAGTTCGTTCTGCCGCTTCACAAACTCCAATTCAAGGTCCAGTTTTTGCCTTTGTTTCTTCAGCTCTGACTCGGCTGTGATGCGGTAGGCCTTTGCCCGCATCTCCGCCTGCTTCAACTGGGACTCCACCTCGATGAGAAGTGACTCTGCCTTGGCCTTGGCCTCTGCCACGGACTGCCCGCTCGCCTGCACTGCCTCACTTTGCGCCTGCAACTCCAACCACCTCGTTTTTGCCCGCTCCACCTCGATCTTGTCGAGCAGCTTCTGCCGCTCCAGTTTACCCCGCGCTTCCTGATCCTTGCGCTCCTTCCCATGGCGCGCGGCAGCTTCCTGGGACTTGGTCGTGATCTCAATCGCGAGCTGCACTGACTTCTGCAGGCTTTCTCGCGTCTTGGCATCTGTCGGTTCTACGGACTGAATATCAATGTTCGTCACAACCAGGTTGTTTGCCGTAAATCGTAGCGAGGTATTCACCTCACCGTTCTCCCCTCGACCAAAGACGGCCTCACGAATAATCCTTGAGGAGTTGCGGTGAAACGAGTCAAAGTCCTCCGCCGCCACCGCACCACGAACACGCGAGGCGATCGTCTTACAGCAGTCCCCAATAAAATCAGGCACGGAGAATATTTTAGCATCCGGTTCGTCACGGTTGACGTCAAAGTGCCAATTGTAGGAGAGATCCAGCTCTAGTCTGGCGTGGTCCGATGTCTCCACGACAACCCTATCGCTCGAGAAGCGTGGGCCAAGTAAAAGCTGCAGGCAGCGCATCGCATTCGGCGCTTTTGGTTTTCCTCCACTGAGTGAAAGCACAGTGAACTCCTCGTCAGGGGACAAAACAACCAAATTTGGCCCAAGCACGACTCGTAGTTTCTTTTGTTTATAGTCGTAGATTTGCACAGCCGCATTGTGTTGGACGTTGAAGCGGACAACGGAATGCCGCACACGGTTGCTTAAAAAGGGCAGTGTGTCGTCCATCTCCGTCGAGCACCCGTTCACAGAGGACAGTAGCACCTCCACCTCTGGTGAAAGATGCTTCTCCCACAAGACCTCGTTTTCATTAAGCATGTAGGGTTCCCCCATCACGACCCGCACCACCCCTGTGGTGGTGTCCATGACGTAGATGCCCTCGTTCTTGTCCAATGCAATGACGCTCCGCTGCTCCAGGATACGCACATTCACGTCAGGGACGTACTCAGTGGGTCCATGCAGCATCCATTTCTCCCCAGGGCATCGAAGTTGTCCACGATCCTCAAACGAGTCCAGCGCCTGAAGCAGGAGCGCCTGGTCTTTGCCAAGCACCTTCATGGACTGCACCTCGCCAATCATTTTTTCGTAGGGGTGAAGGAAAAAGCTGCACTCCCCTTTACGTACTTCTCTTCGTCCGAACTGGTTCATGCCATCCGTGCCAAGAGGATCCTCGACAATACAGTACTCCTTTCCACTTAGTACAGTCGCCTTGACTATGCCACCGACCTTCTCGTGTACGTCAGGAATATGCACCGAAGCGTCTTCCTTTGTCACCAGCCACTTCTCTCCTGCCATCCGTGTTTTTCCATACACGTCCGTGAAGGTGGCGAGAGCCTCCAGCTGAACGGCCTCTGTGTTGGTTAGTGTAACGCCTTCCACGGTGCCGACGACTTCCTCCTCCACCGCCGGCAGGTAAGCACCAACGGTTCTTACCATCCACAGCTCCCCTGCTTCCCGAGGCATACCGTTACGGTCCGTAAATTTTAGCTTGGCGCAGAGATGCAGCGCCGTGTTCGGGGTGATGATATGTGCCTTGACCTCTTGCACCACCTCAACCTCGATACGCGGCACGTACGTCTGCGGCCCCTCCACCAACCACTCCATCCCAGCCCGCCTTGAGACGCCGTTCTCATCAGTAAAATCGTGGAGGCAACGAACGTGGTAACCCGTGTTGGCGGGGATCACCTCCAGCTTAAAGAGCCATTTCTCGTTTTTCTGCTTAAGTACCTCCCCCGGCTCCAGTGGAAAGGGCTGCTGCTCAAATCGGATCTCCTCCTCCCCCATGCGCAGCATCACGCTGGAGTTCGCCCCAAGCACGGGGGCTCCAGACGCATCCCGCACGCAAGGATTTTGAATGATGCAGTAGCACCGCGGTGGCACAACAACACATGGCCGTGGATGAAACAAACACCGTTCGTGTTCCTGACGCGTGTACACTAGAGGCCCCACCAAACACCGTGTAACGTTCATGTTGTTATCCAGCAAATGGACATAGTGGTTCCTCTTAATGCGTATAACGTCACCCATATTTCCTGCGTCTTCGTTTTTGACCTGCCTCCGCTGGTCCATTCGTCTCTGTCAACACACACACACACACGCAGACAACCCCACAGTGCTTTATGGCAGCAGTAGCACGCAAATAATAATAATAATAGAAACGCCTTGAAGTTCGACTCTTTCACACTCCCACAGATTTGGCCACTTTTTGTTTTACTTGCATATATGTTTTCTCCCTCGTCCGCCAGAGCGGCAATAAAGACGCATAGATAGTAGAAGAAACCGGCAACCCAAGAGCGTGAGTGTGAGAGAGGTGGATGTAAAATCAAAAGGAGAAACAAAAGCAGAAGAAATAAATATTATTGCCCATGCAACCCACACACACAAACACCTTTCCCCCCTCCTTCCTAACGGCATCCATTGCATGCATGTATATGTACCCATGCGTATCCGTGCACCGTAGTGCAACATCCTCCCATCCCCTCCCCTCCCCCCCCGCCCTTCTTTTCTCCCTTTCTTCATTCGTGTTCCTTGCCCTTCCTGAATATATATATATATATGTATATATGTTCAGCAGCACACCACAATCCAACATATATTGAAAAGCCCTGTGAAGAGGAAATCCGCTTCTCTCTATTTCCCCCTCACACACGCACAGACACACTGAAACACCGAATGAATAATAATAATAGTAATAATAACAAAGCAGACACACTCTCGTGACAGAAGGAATATCTAACAGAATTCAAATACATGTCAAAGCCAATAACGACGACAACAAGAAATAATAATAATATTTATCAACTTGTTCAATCGATGCCAGGCAAGGGCGTCCTCCCCAGCGCATAAGTGCAGAGCGCAGATGACGCCTCACCACTGCCCATGGCATTGCCCAATTCAGGAAGAGACCCCTCGTCATGAAGAGTTATGCGGAATAGACTGCAGTTTCGCGTAGAGACACTGGATTAGCTGATCACGTTCCCGCAACTCGCTCTGAAGCTGGTCCGTCTTCTCTGCGTGACTCCTACGCATCTCAGCTAGTTGGTTGTTATAATAACTCTGCATGAGCTCCGAATGCGTCTGCAGCTCCTCCACTCGAGCGGCTGTGGAGGCATGATGAAAGCAGTAGTCCTTCAAGCCACGAGTCTGGGCCACCAATTCCTCCTGCATCTGGTCCATGCCACGGAGATCCCCACGAAGGTCGGCAGCGCGGGAGGCAACCTTTTCCATCACACCGTACAAGTTGTTCATCAACGCCACCATTTCAGTGGGTGGAAACAAATGAAAATACAATTTCGTTTCTCGTGTACGATGCAGCAAAGCATGTATGGCACGGTCCACCGCTGCCAGTTCTTCATTTGCCACACCAACCGCTTCCTTGAGCGAAGCCCGTCGTGCCTCCACACACTCAATTTCATCAGAAAGCAGCGAGCGTCGCATTTTTCCAAATGTTGTGAGATCCAACGCCTCCTCCCCCACAAGGCTTTGGAAGGGACGACCCAGCAGCTGCTGCGGAATAATCTGGCGAAGCGTAAATTTCTCCTCCTCATACGAGTTCGTCTCCTTGTTGAAGAAAACTATGGGAGTGGTCCCGAGCTCCCGAACCCCAACAGGACCCAATTCGTGTAAGGCTGGACTACACATGTCCCAAACAGGCCCTGTCACAATTACTTGACCTCCTTGTGCAAGGGAACAAACATGAATGACCTGCAAAACCGCACGACCATAGTAGTGACAGCGGTATGAACTTCCACACGGTATCGCAGTTGGTTCCACAAACACTTCGCCAGTGTGAATGGCCATAGACAAACGCAATCCACGGTAGATCACGTTATTCGCCTCGTCAAATTCCTCCTTGCCCCATGCACTTCGCAGTAGCGACTGCGGCCACGGCAAACTCATTAACCACCATTGTGACTCAACACAAAAACGACAGGCGGCGACAGGATCCGGAAAGGCCAGCAACATAGATGCTCCATCACTGTAACACTCATAGGCTCCATACTGGGTCATTTTAGGACGTAACACGGAATTCATAAGAGAGACCGCAGCCCGAGCCAGTTCAGCGTCTTCTGCCCACAGTTGTCGTCCCCTAAAGACGCAAAGGCATACAAAGATAGCACACTTTTGCGGGGGAGCGACTTGCCCCGAATTGGTCACTGCATCATTTAGATCATCGCTAAAAAAATTCAAGCGGGAGATGACGCCACTGAGTGATTGTTCAGTCTCTGTACACTTTGCTTCAATCTCTTGGAATGCCCGCGACAGACGCTTCTGTTTGTTAGCCAACTCCTCTAATGCTTCTATGGGTGTCCCCCCCATGGAAGCCCGATCCTCTCTCTCCACTGGATGCATAAGCTTTAGCTGCAGCAGGCGGTACACAATGCGTTCCACCGTTACCTTGGCATTCGGATCCTCCATGAGAGATCGCGGGGCATACAAAGTAGGAGATTCATGCAGCTCTGGATCATGCGGTTCCACAGCCTGCTCCGGTCTAGACTCTATAAACGTTATGTAAAACTGATCAAGTAGGCGAAGGATGTAGGTGTTCCACTGTTTCAGTCGCTCCAGCACCGCCTCGCGGTCTGCCAAAGCAACAACCAACTGTTCCGTGGCGCGACTTGCCTCCTTCACTGCAGCGCAGCGCTCCTCGGTTAGTCGCTTGTTTGCCGCCTCCAGTCTATCACGCACCTCGTCGACGCGCTTCTCAGCTTCGCGAAGGCGCTCCTTGTAGTCTGCTTCAATACGGTTCGTGAGATTGTTGACTCGTGCCACATCCTCCGCGCGGCGTTCTTCAGCCGCCAGGCCTTGAATTTGGAGAGCCTGAAGCTCATTTTTGAGCTGCTCCACCCGAGTTTTACATAGACTCTCCACGTATTCCAGCTCTCGTGCCGCAGCCTTCTTAACATCGTCTACTTGCTGCTGGTAAGCCCGGCTGAGCTCGTCGCAGCGATCACTCAGTAGACGCTTCTCACTCTGCAGATGCATGAGCTCCTTCTCGTGCTGAGACTTCAACAGGCGCAGCTGATGGTCCGTGGAGGTCTTTAACTCCTCCTTTTCCTCCTTCACCATCTTTAGCGCCGTCTCAAGCCGGTCCACCTCCTTTTGCATCTCAGCCACCTTTCCTTTCACCCTCTCATCGGCGGCAAACTCCAGGTACTTTGCATCGTGTTTCGCGTTACCGAGCTGCGTTCGCAGGCTAGAGCACTTGCGCAGAAGCTCCTCAATCTCCTTTTCCTTCAGCGCCAAGGTTGACGCGCTGCGCTGCGCCGCCGATGTTCGCCACGGACGCCCCAAGTCTGGCCGGTGAAAAAGCTCCTCCCCTCGCTGCACACCCGTCAACGTCTTAAGGTACGTGCCAGGGATGCGGTCAGCAGCGTACACACCCGTTGTTGCGGCAGAGTCGACCGTCGGTGGCGTTTCCCATCCGTTAGGCGGTGGGACAACATCCTCCATTTGTGCCTCTCCTCACCTTTCGCTTCAAACTGTCCCCTTTCCCCCTATATTTGTTTCTGCAATTATATAATTGACCCAAACGTGTACCTATCCAACACCAATATATGGCTGTCGATGACAGTATGTACTCTATACCTTTGCTTCGTGGCGTTATTTGCGGGTCGGTGGTGGATTTCCCCGCTTGGTGTGTAGTCCCACGCGTATTCCTCGTTCTTTTCCCCTCTGTGCTGGCACTACCAGCCACCTTAAACCCACAATCTCGTGAATAATAATTTAAAAAAGCACGCAGAAACGCGCAACAGCATGGAGCAGTAAAAAGAATATATCTGTAGCCAGAGTATAATTAGGCAGAAACCCCCCCCCCCACGAAAAAAAAAAAAAAACAAACAACAACAACAACAGAGAGACAACGAGGAGGTAAACAAACGGGGAAGGGGAAGTGAAAAGTACTTTTAAAGGTACATTGCTTTTCCCTCTCCCACCCATCCTTGCATGCATAAAAGCAAACAATGGAGTTGGTGGTGTAAAAGCAAGAGAAGTAGGCTTGATACTCAGACTTTGCACACACACACACACACGCATGCACACATAGACAAAAGACAGGTACAGACAGCCACACAACCTCTGTAACGCCAGTGAAGTTGACTTCATCTAACACTCCTCTATTCCTATCACATTTGAGCGCGGTACACGCAAATAACCATAAATACATGCTTGTATGTCATTTCAATGTTTTTTGTTGTTTTTTTTTCTGTGTGTTCTCCATCGGTACTTCCAGCGGTCACTTCCTTGCTCACCTCTTTACATCGTGAACTCTCTTTCTTTCTTCATTTTCTTTACTCCTCCCATCCAGGCAAGCATATATATATATATATATATATAAACGTGTCTGAGTGTGTTGGCTTCAATGGTTACATCTCGTATGGGATAAAGTGTATCTCCAGCGTCTTCTTCAGGCGTGAGACCTCCTCTTCGACAGACCGCACCTCCTCACGGCGCCGCGCCTCAGAACGACGCAGGTCCTCCTGAAGTGTCTCGATCACTTCCTCCTGATTTGTGATACGGGCCCTGAGGTGGGTTTCATTCTCAAGGGCTAACTGCTCTTGTATCTCCATCTCCCGCGTCAGCTCGCCGACCTTCTCGCTGAGAATCGCGATGGTGCCCTCATACGTCGTCACCTCACCCTCAATGGTCTTACGGTGCGGAATAAAATGCGCGTCCAGCAGGTTGCAGAGACGGTTAATCTCCTCGTCCTTTGCCGCGGTCACCACCTCCAGATTCCGCTGCGCGTCCTGCAGTGCCGTCTGAAGGTGAAACGTCGTCGCCTTCAGCACCGCGACCTCTGACATGAGCTGCGCCTCCCGTTCCTTGGCGGCATCCTGCTTCTCTGAGAAGGTGTTGCGCACGTCATCCAGCTCCTTCTCTTTCTCCTTCGTCTCGTCAAAGGTTCGCGACAGCTCCGTCTCATGCAGCTTCTGTTCATGTAGTAGTTTCTGCTGTAACTGAGAAATGATGGTCCGGTTATTTGAGACTTGGGCATTGAGAAAGGTGATCTTGTCAAACGTTTCTCGTTCCTTGCGGCGCAGCAAAAGCTCCAGCTCCTCCATGCACTTTTGGTTGGCCTCCAGTTCAACAAGGGTATTCTGCAGCTCCCCTTCGAGATTCATCCTGGCTGTTTGCGTGGACTCCGCTTCCTGTTCCGCTCGCTCCTGCAAGGCCCGTAGCTCTGCGCTTAAATACGTGGAGTCGCTCTGAACCTGCTCTAGGTGCTGCTGGTACTCGCGCAGCATGACATCGGATTTGAGTTTAACTTCGGCATTCTCATTCTTCAGGGCATCAACCTCGTCCTGTAGCTTCGCACACCTCGTTTCTAGTTGCAGCAGCTCCTCATTCGCTCGGCTGACGCGCCGGCGTTCTTCCTCAATCTGCTCTTCGTAACGACGCTTATTTTCATCGAGTTGGCCGTTGAGCAACTGCATGAGTGTCACATTCTTTCGATCATCTGCCTCACGCGCCTCCACGACCTCTTGCATAGAGCGATTCATTGCGAGCGCCTTCTCCAGTTCTCGTTGCAGATTGCCAATTTTTGACACCTGCGCCCGCACCTCTGCCTCCTTGTTGTCCAACGTTTCCTCCATCTTCGCAGCATACTCCGCATGCTCGGCCTTGAAGAGACCAAAGTCCGTCCGCAGTTCCTCAATCTCGTCAGAGAGAGCAGTGATATTTTTATTGGCCTCCTCGCGCACGCTGCACAGTTTCAGCTCCGCGCTTTGTTTCTCATGTAGCAGAAGCCGCTGCTTCTCGTCCAGCTCCACACGCAGTAGGCTCACCTCGTTAAGCAGCGAGTCTCGCATTAAGACAAGTTGTTCCACCTGACTCTCCGACGCGGCACGCTCGTCATGCAGGGAGGTGGTTAGCTGTTCCACCTTGGCCATAAGCTCTTTCACCCTGGCATCCTTCTCACGGACGATACGGGCCTGTTCCTCCTTCCACAAAATGAGGCGTTCTTCCTGCTCCTCGCGGTCACGGCGGTCATTTTCACGTTTTTGAAGCTCCTCCGTCTCATTTTCCACAACATACAGCTGCTTCAGACGGAGTACCTCAGCGCTCTCTTTCTTCTTCCCTCCCTTCTTCTTTCCCTTCTTCGGAGGCATTGTCACCTCACTGATTATACCCTTCCTTGAGCTGCCAGCAGCAGCCTGAAAGGCAAACCAAGCAAACAAAACAAAAAAGAGGGGGAGAGAACGAGAGATATGGACACAAATGGAGAGGTCATGAAGCGCAGGTCAACAAAAAACATGTGGAAAAAGGCAAAACCAACAGCAGCAGCAACAATAACAAACGCAAAAAAATCTTCAAGTTTTATGTCTATGATAGGACTCCCGTTCCAACTTTCTTTCTCTTTTTTCACTGAAAACACGGGAGGGCAAAAGAGAGGTCATCAGGGAGACGAGGTGTTTGTATCTTGTGGGCGTGAACTGAGGTGCGCGTTGGCTCCTGCCCAGTGTTGCTGCACCTCTGCACTTGAGTCACAGCTGTACGTAGGCGAGACAAGGTGGTAAGCAGCAGCCTATACGTTTCAGCAGAACAGCACACACCGCTTGACTCTATATGTTTAACTAGTCTATTAACCTCTATACATAATTCTTGAACATCCACTGCCAGGGAGTCGAACTGAAACCCCGCCTCAATTCTGTAAAGTACAGTTTCCAAACTGGTGTTTACTGTGGATAGGCAACTGGATGGAGAAATTCCGCCCATAGAGGAAAGCCATGAAATACCCTTTCTTTCCAACTCTTCATTTTTGCTATCTTCCGATATCATATGTATCTATATATGTATATATTCTATGTAACTATCTATCACCATATACAAAAGTTATACAGAGATCTAAAGAAATCGTAACGGACGTGGGCACTCCAACAACTGCAGCAATAACAAGAAAACAAAAAAAAAAAAACAGCAACATATATATGTGTGTGTGCATATATATAAGCAACTAGATGAAAAAATCACACAAATTGGGGGATTTTTTTTTTTACAATTCTTTCTTTTTCCTTGATTTTCCTTTTCTTCTTCCTCGTTTCTCCCTCTTTTTTTTTTCTTTCCTTGAATTCGTAAAGAAACACCGTTTATGCAGGCACCGATCATCACCATTAATATCGCCTTCTAAGAATTTTGCAAGTATTGGGAGAGCCAGCGGAAGGCATCACCGTAGCCAATCTTCTTAACAACGCTGCACATGAAGACCTCGAGGGGGCGAACAGCAGAATCTGTCACTTTGTTTTGCTTACCCGTGGGGAGCCCTGTGAGGCCCATAGCAGCAATGAGATGTTCCTCTGATACAGCACGCGGCACATCAATTTTGTTACCAAGTATGATAAAGGGTGTCCTGGAAAGTTCCTCTGTTTGTAGCAGCATATCCAGCTCTTGTTTTGCCTCTTGGAAGCGTTCAGGGTTGGCAGCATCGACAATAAAAACAACACCATCAACTTTCGTGAAGTAATCCTTCCAAAGACGTCGAGCTTCCAAGTGTCCGCCCATATCGATGGTCTTCAATTTGATACCACCCAGTGTAAGTTCTTCCACGTTCGGATGGAAGGTGGGTCTGTGGACATGGACTTGATCGGTGGCAAGTTTACCAAGCAGCGTCGTCTTTCCAGCGTTGTCAAGTCCAAGAAACAAAATCTTGCCCGTTTTGTTGCTGAAACCAAGGTAGGACATCATGTCCCAGAACCAAGAAAACCAACCCATTTTCTTCTCTAACAACAATGCTTACAAGAAGCCACCAACCAAAAGAGACAGAATAGATGAAATAGGTGTATGCAGTGTAAACAAAAAAAAAATCAAATCCCTCTCCCCAGTCACAGAGAGAGAGAGAGAGAAGAAAAAAAGTAAAACGAAAAAAAAAAAAGAGCTAAACAAATTGTCCCACAAAAGGCTCCAACTACAAACAATTAAGCAAAAATCAGTTGAACATGCATCAGTTATTTTTTAAACTTAGACCTGCCCTTGGGCCGCGGCCTATGTGAGTTGCACCATGGACGATCATTCTCAACATCCCACTGTCTAGAGTGGGCTAAAAGTTTGTGTTCCGAGCTCATCACCGCCTCCATATTCGCATAAACCTTCATGGGGACCCCCTCACAGCAGGTGTGAAAATGATCCCTTTGAGTAAGAGGCACAAAAAGTGTTCGCTTACATGAACGGCAGCGTTTTAAAAGCACATGCTTTATCTTGAGTAGGCGTGTCGGATCATCCGGATTTTGGCGCCTATAAGCACCTTTAAAATACCGCGGATCCACCATCTGCGGACGTCCATTGAGATTTAGTCCAGCAGGTCTACTTTTCCATGGGTTGAACGCTGTGATTCTAGCACGATAATTAATCCCCACTAGGCTTAGCATCAGGGGCTAAAACATTCATGCTATCAAAAAAACACAAACATAAATAAAAAGCAACAACAACGCAGTATTGCGAGCTGGAAAGAAAGAAAATATAATATAGAATAAAACAACAACAACGTCAATGAATTAACAGACATCTACACAGAATAGCACAAATCATCCCAATATGGAGAGTTAGATAAAATCTCTTCATTATCCAACCTCGACTAGGAGTAGGTGACATCCATGTAACAAGGCAGATAATATCCAGATATGATGTGGTATCTATTCTAAAAAAAACTTGTACCTGCTTCTTTGGTGGTAGCCAAACAAAAAAAAATATGATAATAATAACAATAACAAAATGAAACGTCTATTCTATTCGGGCGCGTTTTCCCCTGCACCTTACTTCTTCAGACGAGGCAACGTTAACATCTTGATCACGTAATACAAGCCTGTTCTTTGCCTCCTCAAAGCTGTTAATAGTCGCTTGATCAACAGCCGAAACTCGCGCACCTGATCTACTAGATAACTCATCCAACATAGACTTCAGCTTCTCAAAACTTTTCACCCAATAGTTAACCTCCTCATTGGCGCAACTAATAGCCTTCATTGCCCAATCCTTCTCAGTTGCTCGATACCTCTCTGCCTCCTCACGCCTCGCTTTAACCTCCTGTAAAGCCTTTTTATACTCCATCTTCCTTCCAAGTTCATAATCAAAGTTTTTTTGAAGCTTCTGAAGCTTATTTTCAATAAGTTGAGTGTTGTGTTTTTCAATGTCCAATTCCACAAGAATTCCACGTATCCGTTCATCTTTTGTATTTTTCTCAGCAAGAAGCTGATTGGAGACGGAATCCAATTTCTGCATTACTTCCTCTTTCATTTTATCAGCAGCATCTCGTTGTTTTTCAATAAGACGAATCTCCGAAAGAAGGTTCTCATTTTTTTTAATTGTGGCCTTCTCTTGGTCTCCCAGACTGAACTCAGCGTTGCGTAGCTGCAAGTGAAGATGTGTGCATCTCTCCTCGGTTTCCCTCTGTATTTTTTTTGAATAGTCCAGAGCCTCTAAAACTCTCTTTTTTTCTTTAACGTGGACCCTGTAAAACTCTACTCCAACAATATCCGCTTTTTCCAACATCCATTTTGCATAATGCTCAAAAGAAAACATCAGTGACCCCATAACGTCTTGAAGCCACCTTGTGGCACACTCTGAGAAATATACGTGTTTTTCTGTAGAGATAGACATTTCTTGTAAAATATTTTCTGTAGCAACAAGCTTATCGGATAGCAATTTGTTGTTTCTTTGAAATTCATTACATCGGTTGCGCTGCTCCTCAACCCCACTCTTCAACAATGTGAGGCTTTCCTCATATTCCCTTATCTGATTTTGAAGTGCTACCAACTCCACATTTCGTGTTTCAATTTCATGAGTTTGTTTTGCTTCACGCTCTCTCTGCTTTTGGATCTCTTCTTCCAGACTCAACTCCATTGCATCTAGTTTATGCATCGCGGCAATCTTTTCAGTATCCAATTCCCGAGTAACACTATCTAAGCGAGATATTTCATTAAAGCATTGCCGCAATAAAGTTTCAATTCCTCCAGTGTGATGAAAAATTGTATCGCACATATCCCCAAGGTATTGCTCACACAACTTGGACCTGATGATAGCTTCCTCTTGAAAAAGTTGTTCAAAGCAATTATTCTTATTTTCCTTCTGTAACTCCTCAATGGCAGTGCGAAACTGAGCTATCAAGTCAGAGTCTTGTAGAACCCTTTCATGAAGTTCCTCATTCTTCAGATTTGCATCACCCAACTGCCTTGTTATACTGTTAATCATCTGCTGTCGTGCAGTCACTTCCGACTCAAGATTCTTAATATCCACAAGAAAACCCTCAATCTTATCTTCAAGCTCTGATTTCATAAGTACAACTGCTTCATCCTTGGCTTCATGCGACACTTTAGTCTGGTGTAATTCAACTTCAATCAATGCCTTTTCTTCATGAAGAGACTTTATCACAGACTGAGCCTCTTCAAAACCATTACGAAGAGTTTGCAGCTGATTTTCTAAAGAAGTTACCAAATAACCATTGTCACTTCGTTCTCGTTCCTCCCTCTTAATATCCGCTGTAAGTTGACTAATAGTCAGTTCCTGTTTTCGTATTTCAGTGTTCTTTTCCTTTAATTGATCAGTTGATGACGCTAGCTTTGTACGCAAATCCAGTATCATTTCCTGCTGTTTGGATGCATTTTGTGAGGCATGTTCAAGATCGCGACGGACTGTCTCTAACTCTAATTGAAGTAGTTTATTCTCTTTTTTGCACTCATGTAGGTCACAGGAAATCTTCTCGGTGTGTCCCTTCTCTTCTATTCCTAGCAACTTAATGGCCTCAATGCGCTGGTTCAGCGTAGAAATCGTAGTTTGAAGTCTTTCAATCGTATCTGATTGTTTTGCATTCTGTAGCTCCAAGGAGCGGATTTCATCATCCTTTGAGTGGCAAATTTCCTGCCATTTATTGCCCGCCTCGTCCAATTTGAAAACAGTTTCATCCCGTGTATATATATCATTCTGTAATGATTCAATACGAGAATGCAACGACGCTATCTTCTTCTCCGTTGCAGCAGCTGCAGATTCCAACCTTGAAGAGTGCTCCCTCTCACACTGTAGTTGTTTTAACACATCCGCACGACTGCTCACCAGCTCTTCAAATTCATGTTGTAACCTTAAAAGTTGCTCTTTAAAAATGTCTAATTCTTTTTGAAGCGCCTCATTCTCCGCAATCCATTGCTTTTCAGCCTCACACCATTTTGCTATGGAGGCATGGGCATCACGTCGGATTTGTTCCTTTTCGCACTCAGTAGATGTAATCCGTTTTTGTTCCGCAACCAATGCAGCTTGTTTTTCTGCCAGTTCCTTTTGTAATGCATGGCACCTTTCCTCTAGTTTAGTTTTCTTCTTGTCGTCATCAGTGAGTGTGACAAGCTCACGCCTTAGCTCCGCTTTATCCTGGTCAAGCTTGGCTATTTGAGCTTGTTGTGTTTTGAGCCTTTCTTCAAGCTCGCGTGTGTAGGCTTTTTCACGTTGCAACTGAAATTCTATGTGTTTCTGGCTTGCCTTCAAACCTTGACGGTTGTCACCCTTTGCAGGAGAATCCATAACCTGAAAGCCAACCAATCAGTGAGGCAAAGTGAAAGATAAGAGCATAGACAACAAATATTTCCCAATGATAATAATGATGACAGTACTGAAAATAATGCATTGACGATTTTCAAAAAGAATCACATCATTCCCCTATCAGTATCCTACTATAAATATTAACGCTAAGCACAGACAAAAAATTATAATATTTCTTTCATTAATATAATGCCTACTCAATTTTCTTTGAATTTCTTAATGCTGCCTTCTTTCCCGATTTCATATAAAAATCTAGAAAAAGAAAAAATAAGCTTATATGGTAGAAGAGTTGAAGGAGAGACCACTGTAAAGTAAACTGATGGTCAAAGAAAGGAACCAACAAAGCTTGTACAATACACAGAAAAAATTGGAACATTTGAATTTTTGTAAGAATGGATTTAAAGGGATTCTGAAGACCAAAAGATGTCCACAAATAATGAGAATACATCAAAAAGTGCACTGCAGAATTAATACATGCCCCAAAGAAGGCAGCTCCATTGCCCATACCGTTCCTTAAAAGAAGCCCATAGATTAAACCAATCGTGGCGTGGTGGTAAATGTGAAGAAAAGACAGTTGTTCATTCTTTTTCCTACAAATCATAAATACTGTATCCAGCATATCCAGAAACTTAGTACAATAATGAACAAAGATCCAGAATTCGATTGTGCGGGTGAAAAGACCGTTAAAATTAAAGAAACCATTCTTCAGAGATGGGGCAAGAGCGATTGCCATTGTGGCCGACAGCGAAATTTGAACAACATTGTAGAACATCATAGGTTTATCAACGTTTAAGGCAGCCCGATGTTGCATCCACTTTCGAAGAAGCACCACCAAAACGATATATGCTGCATGCACCCCAATGATCACAGGCCAAGAAACAAACGAGTTAAAGACTGGATAAAAGCAAAGTCCGCCTTTAGAATGGCACTCTCTTGCATCCAAACATGCGCCCATTGCCTTGGACCCTTCGCCTTCACCTTTTTACTTAGGACACTAAACGGGGAGGGGAAAAAAAATAATAATGACCCTGCTTAAGAAAGGCAGAGGCAACAACTGCACACACTTACAATTGTGAATACCAAACGTGACAACGCCACCTCACACACACTAAAAGACGCCACTGCCTCCACCACTCGGAAAACGTAGACTAAGAAAATAAAATATGCCCCTAAAGCCTGCTTCGTTCCCCTGCTTGTGTGGGCTCGCCTTTTGTTCGTGTAGTTTGGCATCGGTTGAAGATGGGTGCTTTTTGTTTACCTTTCACGTGCTGGCCCTCCCGCTCTTGCAGCGGGAGAGGAGGCACCATCACCCACACACACGCGCGCACCACCCCGCCCGCATCGGAGGCCAATGCGGCAGAGACAGACCATCACGCGGGGGATCTCGCCACCGCCGGTGCTTCCCTGGCCGCGGGGCAGCATTTCTGCCGGGCCCTGCCGGCACGCGCGACGGCGCCGCTGGAGCCGCCAGCGCGCTGAGAAGCCGCGGGTTCCTCCGCCACCACGACCAAAGACGGCTGAGACGATCGCGCCCGCCCCACGAGGCGGCGCCACGCGACAAACGCCGTTTCTGCGAAACCTGCGAGCCACGCGCTGGGCGCTGCATGCGATCGCGCCGTGTAATAAAGTACGGCGGCGCCCCTCTCCCTTGCGGGTGCGCAGGCGGTTGGGGCTCTGCCTTTTCTTCTTGTCTAAGCAGGCGGCGGCGCGAAACGCCACCGCGACGAGGCCGCCCCTTTCATCGCAGGAAGGCAAAGGCATGGGGATCGGAGAGGCGAACGCAATGCGAGAAGAGAAGCATCATCCCAGTTGCCTTTGCCCTGCGCTTCAAACGGGCCGCCCAGCGACATTGAAGTTATCCTCGCTGCTTGTGCTTGTGTGCGCGCGCGTGTTTGCACAGGGCAACGGTGCGCCCATCTTTTCCTGCGGGGGCGTGCGCGAGGTGGTGCTGTTTGCACCTGTTTGAGGCGATGGCAGGCGGAGCGCGTGGGCAGCGGCCCTTCGCACCCACCGCGTTGTTGCTATCGCTGGCTCTCCCCGACATGGTGCGGCGCGTGGGGCGCCCACCTGCTGTTGTGGAGGCCCC